GGGGGGGGGGCTGAGGCATTTTATTGCCCCGGGAAAGCTGCTCCAGATGTGCCATCTTGAACTTTTTCTCCTTTTTTTCTTTCCTAGTCTTTAATTTTATTATTCAAAATCCTACATGTATTTCTTTCCAAACTTTCTTTTTAATCTTTTCAGAGATCTTGAGCTCAAAGTGATAACTTTGGCTTGACATTCCTCATTGACATCCTTTGATCTTATAATAGAGCTGAAAGGACAGCAGCAAAGTGTCACCCAGGAAACTGCTCCTCTACATTGGCAATAATAGCAGGTATTTATGGAGCAACTCCCAGAACTTTGCTAGCCACCTTATATGTATTACCTTACGCAGTTCACTCAGCACTATAGTGGAGGCACTACTTCTATACCCATTTTACAAATGAGGAAACTGAGGCATTGGAAAATTTATAAACTGACCCAAAGTCTCACAGCTAATGGAGAACACACACTCTTAACTACCCTGCTAGACTGCTCTGATCATAATCTGGCAAATCATCCTTCCATCCATCCATCCATCCATCCATCCATCCACCCACCCATCCACCCACCATCCATCCATCCATCCATCCATCCATCCATCCATCCATCCATCCTCCATCCAACCTCCATCCATCCACCCATCCACCCATCCACCCATCCACCCATCATCCATCCATCCATCCATCCATCCATCCATCCATCCATCCATCCATCCAATCAAAGAGTCAACAAGCATGTACTAGGAAATAAACCATGAATGAGACTGACCTGGTCACTCTCCTGGCTATGTTCTGGAGAGGCGGAGAGGCAGTTATGCAAATACCTGCACACAGTGCGGGAAATGCTATCACTTGTCGCTTGCTTCTGACAGGGAAGTGCAGTGTGCTGGGGCGCCGCAGGAGGCCCTAACCCAGTCCTAAGGGGGTGTTGAGAGGCAGATCTGGCTACTCTGCAGCCAGAGGCAAATGATGGAACCTCTAGAAGGAAAGATCTTTGAAACAAGGTCCTCCTCTGTGTTGTTCCCCCAGGGCCTGGCACATAGTAGATGCTCAATTAAAATCTGTTGAATAAATGAAAATTCTAATGCTCCATAATAAGTCCACTTTTACAGGGAGTCTTCTAACTAATTTCTAATGATCAAACATTCTTAAACGCTTCTCCTCTAAGCCTGAAATAAATGTTTCCGTTTGATTTAAGAAATCAAGTCGGTGCTCCCTTTTAAGCCACTTTTTAAAAGCCCTATTGCAAGAAAGCTGCCACACCCAGTATATTCTCCTAGAACAGTGTGTCCTCAAGTATCTTCTGAAACAGGTGCTCTGACTAGAGATTCTGGGACAGTCTGGGAAAGTGGAGACTCCGGTTGCTTTTTCCCCTCTTTTCCCCCCAGCTCATCTGTGGAATCCCATGCTCTATTCTGTAGCGATGAAAGATTTGTTCTTTCTTCACCTTCCCAGGATCGCTTCGAAGTTTTTCTTCCCCTCAACCTCTTCCCTACCTTTTCACTCTTCAAATGGTGTTAATTTTGGGAAAGTGGTTCTTAATTATTTACCACACAATCTGGCGACTACAAGACTCCAGGGCAAAGCAGGAGAGAAAGGCCAACAGAAAGCTGAAGCCTAGGCTAATGATTTCCTTCGACAAGAAATTCTCTTATCATAAGGTGGTGTTTTATTTAGGTTGCAGACCTTAGCTGTAGAGCAGGCATTACATCTGTGTCTTCCTTGTGTCAGCCTGGAACGTGTTGTGGCTCATGTAATATTTTCTTTAGTGAAAACAGCAGTAAATCTGAGGTAGTGAAATAATGCCGAGGGGAAGGACAAGCCAAAGCTCCTAAAGAGAGAAGTTAACTTGGAGCTGGTAATCCTGATGGCCTATCCCAGAGTCGCAGTGGCAGGTTTGTACATGATCTTTAAGATATTTAAAAAAATATGTTTTTATTGGTTTCAGAGAGAGGATTGGAGAGGGAGAGGGAGAGGGAGAGAGAGAGACAAACACCGATGAGAGAGAAACATCCATTGGCTGACTCCTGCACGCCCCATGCTGGGGATGGAGCCTTAACCCCAGCATGTGCCCTGCCCAGGAACTGCCCCAGCGACCTCCTGGTGCATGGCACTATGCTCAACCAACTGAGCCACCTGGCTGGGCTTAAAAAGTCACGTTAATTATAAAATTTTACTTCCTAGCCTGACGACACAGTTTAACATTGTACCTCTTTCCCTGCTTAATTTTTCTCCAGAGCCTTATCTCCTTCTCATAGGCTATATACTTCACTTAGTATTATTGTATTTTATTATTTAAATGTCTGACATCCCCTCTAGAACTTAAGCTTCCTCAAGGGCAAGAATTTTTGCTTGTTTTGTGTATTTATCCAGGGCCTAGATTTGTCCTAGTACTGGTAGATGCACAATAAATATCTGTTGAATAAATGAATTATTAATCCTGATCAAAGCAATATTAATAAATAATAACTATGATCAAGTTTTTCCTACATGTATTTAATTTTTAGACAACAGTTGGACATTCACAAAGAAGTTGATGGTAAAACCCCACCAGAACCTATTTCCATCAGCCTGGGAAAGATCAGCCTGTGCTGGTGGGAATGGAAAACCTTGAGGTTTCCATGCAGATAGACTTACATGAATCCCTAAAGCTAAGGGTATGGTTTGGCTCAGGATGCTTGTAACTGTCCCTGGCAACAAGTTCAGGTGCTGCTTATGGCCCCCATGAAATTCAGAGTCACTAAATTTATATTCCTATTTCTGGACAAAGCGTTATCACCCCACTCCAAAATTCTTGGTACAGGATCAGGCAGTTTATTGGGACTCAAAACATAAAAGATGAGTAGAGGAGTGTAGTAATTATTTGAGTTTCTCTTCTACTTGGCATTGTTATAATCACAGGACATGCTTCCCAGCAAAGACATGTCCTTGTGCTCGGAGGACCATAGTGGCTGCTCCAGTTCTTCCTTTTTCCCAAGATTCCTGCTTCAAGGGCCAATCTAGGGGAAATGAAATCAGGCTAATCTGAGTGTCAGGTAACCTCCCTCTCCCATCCAGGGTGGCCTCTCTCAACAACTGCCCTGAAAGACTGATAAAGGACTAGACTTATCTAGAAGCAGGAAGAACAACTGGCCTCGCTGCGCATGGACTAATATTATGAGTGGGTGAGTCCAAAAAGATAGGACACTGTAAGCAAATTCTCTATAGGACTACATGAATGCATGTGGTATTCCTAAACAGAAGCAAGCTTGGGCAGGTGTGTCAGCAAATGCAAATCGTATAGCTGTGTAACACCTGTGCCGCACTTAATTATCTAATATATTCATTGTGACCCCTCGGGAAAAGCCTCATGTAAACTGCTGGTCTAGTGGTAAATGGGAAGTCATGCACTTCAAGTTCTAAACCCATCTGTTGTTTTTAATACCTTAGATGATTTATGAAAAACATTTTATTGGGATGTAATTTATATACCATACAATTCACCCATTTAAAGTACACAGTTCAATGGTTTTTAGTATACTAAAAACCATCACCGGTCACTTTTAGACGACTTTCATCACTCCAAAAAGACAGCTTGCATTCTTTAGCGGTCACTCCCCATTCTTCCCCACCTCTACCCCCCATTCCAGCCATATGCAAACATGAGTTTACTTTCTGTCTCTGGGGGTTTGTCTATTGTGGATATATTATATAACTGGAGTCATACAATATGTGGTCTTCTTTCACTTAGCATAATCTTCAATGTTCATCCTTGATGTAGCACAGATGCATACATCATTCCTTTTTACTGTTGAATAATGCTCCGTTGTTCCATTCCATATCACATTTCATCTATCCATTCATCAGTCAGTGGACACTTGGGTGTTTTCAGGTTTTGGCTATCCTGAGTAAGGCTGCTGTGAACATTTGTGTACAAGTTCTTACACAGACCTAGGTTTTCAGTTCTCTTGGATGTATACTTAGGGGTGAAATGGCTGGGTTATGTGGTGCCATTTTGTGGAACTACCAAACTATTCTCCACAGCAACTCAACACTTTATATTCCTACCACCCATATATGATGGTTCCAGTTTCTCCACCTCCTCTCCAACAACTGTCATATGCTTTTTGATTATAGCCATTTGGTCGGTGTGAAGTGGTATCTTGTGGTTTTGATCTTCATTTCCCTAAAACGTAATGATAGCAGGCACGTTTTCATGTGTCGACTGAACATCTGTACATCTTCTGTGAAGACATTCTATTTCTAGAGGGATGTCTAAAATCCCTTGCCCATTTGTAGACGGGTTGTTGGTCTTTTAGCGGTTAAGTCTGTCTTCTTTTGCCTTAAGAAGGAAGGATGGTTGGAGGAAGACAGCCTCAGACCTCTCACCCGGTCTTGACTAAAACGGAGCTTCTGCAACACAAAGCTGGGGTGGATGAGGTGCTGGTGGCCTGCTTTTCTTAGAAATATTCAATAGCCCTAGGTTGAGACTGAGGTTGAGAAGGAGCCCTGTGTTCTTGGCTGCACCTACCTGGAGTGGAGCACTATCATACCCCCCTGGAGGGGGACAGGGAAGTGGGCTATGGCTCAACTGCCACAAACTCTTGCTGTTCTTACTGAAATTTAGTAGACCGTGTTGAATAAATTTTCTTCATTTGTTGCATTTTCTCAGGACAATCTCTAGAGGCTACGTTGTTGTTTATAATTTTCACCAGTTCTTGTTGTATTGCTAAAGAGTGGGTTTATGGAGCGCCTCAAACCACCGTTCTGGAGGTTGAGTCCCATTTGAATAATTTTTAATGAAGATTTTATGCTGCTACAGTAGGTACAGAATTAGGAAGGACAGTTTTTACAAAAGTATTTGCAAATTTACAAGCAGGTTAAGAAAACTGAAGTTTAGGGCTGATTGACTTTCAGCTTCACATCCAAACTCCAGACTGCCGACGCATTTGGTTTGACAGACCATTTATTGTTATTAAATAGTTGTATAGAAATATTTGAATAATGAGGGTGACTGCATTTCATATGAAAGTTTGTTGTTGCTCTAGTAACTTATATATAAAGCCATCACAACTATCGAAATGGCATTCAAAATGATGCCTATTCAAAAAAGTATAGGAATAATTCTGATGTGAAAATCAAGTTATTAAGACCTCATTAGTTTTATACAAGTTTTATACTCTAAAAATTTCACAAGCAAAAATGACCGTGTATTTCTTCGTTTTTGTTTCATTCAGAAGAACTACCATGCCACAAAGTCTTTTGAAAAACAACTTTCCCAATTTCCCTGGTACATTTATTTGTCGTTAGAGGGCAAAGGTTTACATTTAACATTTCTTCAAATTCTGTACTCGATCATGGGCTGAGCTTATATGTTAATTGCCAACCAGTTGAACTTCATGTCAGTTGAAACAGACCAAGGATCTCTGTTCATATCTAAAACCCTTCAGCATCCATTCCCACACCCCCCATGGCAAAGTTAACTATACTTCTTGGGTTTAGAAGTCTGGTTACTTATAAATGATCACGTCAGCATTTTTGAGAAAATACATACTACTTAATAATTATGAGGAAATGTTAAAATGTGTTTCTTGGAAATTCATCACTCTTGGAGCAGTTGGCTTGTGTGTATTATTGTCTGAAGTAGCTTATGGGCAAAAAGTGTCGTAGAAGAGCATGAAACTAGATAAAGAGGAATATTTAAGAATGAAACAAAGTACCTCCCAATGATATCTCCCAGAATAGTTACTACTGAACTACACAAGGATAAGTAATGAAAGTAATTTACAAAGTAATTTTCTCTTCTTTTGGCTTGGAAAGTTTCAATAATAAAGTTTGGTTTCTGTTGAGTGGATCATCATAGTTTCTAACATAGTTAAAGGCAGATGGAAAAACCCACTGAATTCTTAAAATTTTAACGCAGTTAAGTCATAAACTGATACATTGCATGAAAGCTCGGTATTGTCTTTCCCCTGCAAAGGCGGACATTCAATCCTGCCAAAGCCGCGCGTGGAGCAGACGTTTTGGAAGATGCTTACCTCCCGGTGGGCGTCTCTGCGGCTCCAGTGCGCGGGCGCCTCTGCAGACGCGCCTCGGAGCGCCCCGAGTTGGGTGTCCGCCCCGCTGGCTGCTCTGTGGCCAAAACTCCGACTCTGCCAGGCCGATTACGGCGATTAATTATTGACAAAAGGAAAACACTCCCACGCAAACTTGTGCCCAACCGCGCCGCTCCAGCGCCTGCCTGGGGAGGGAAGGCCGGCTGCCCCGTCCCCTCCCCCCGGCTCCGCGGCCCCGGTTCCCGCGCCGCCGCCGCGCTCGGGCTGGGAGACCCGGCTGGCCCGGGAGGAATGCAGCCCAGCGGCTTCTACATTTTAAAATTTGGTTTTCCGCGGTGGCTCCAGAGCAGCCCTCCCGGGATCGGCCTCTCGGGCGGAGGCGCCTTCCCGACGCTGGGGAAGCAGGGACTCGGAGCACCGGGGAGGCGTGGCGTCCCTGTCACCTCCGGCTGCTGCAGTGAGAGCCGAGCCCAGAGCCGGAGCGCCGGGGACGGAGGGGGAGGGAGGCGCCCCACCCCCACCCGCCGGGAGCCCCAACGCCGCCGAGGGGCGCACTCTTCCCTGCGGGTGTGGAGGGGTGGAGGAGCGAGGCGCAGGTGGAAAGCTCCAGGGCTTTAGGCTCTAAGGCGCGGTTAACCCGCAGGGAAAGCCCTCGCCCAGCGTCCCTCCCTCCGCAGGTTTGGGCAAAGGGACGGAGCTGGGGACACCGAGCAGCACCCGGCGCCACAGTCGCAGCCGCTGCAAAGCGAGCTCGGGGCTCCGGCGGGGGCAGCAGTCCCCAGGCAGGTACCCCGCAGTCCCAGCGCGTGGCCAGCTGATTTTTGCGCTTTGGGTCATTGTTGCCCCCACC